AAAATTAATCCCTCATCAAACGCATTTGAACGCGAATTCGTTATTTAAATAACGGTGCACGAAACTACGCCAGTTATAAGCACCATTAAATATTAAACAATGCGGATATATAGCACCAAGGTCTAGCCCACCCTATTCCAAACAGCACGAAAAATTCGTCGCAAATGCGTCTTTCTTTGGAATTCAATTGCAACAGAGAACAAGACTTGCGTTAACCGTAACACATTAATTACTTATCGATCTTAAGATCGGTGGTTCCCAACATTTTGTGTTGAAATCCTCTATTTGTTGGTCCTTGAACTGTTTATACCAAAATCCCTATGTTCAAAATTACATTGCCTTTTGTAGATCCTTTGCCAGTGTTATATATACAAAAGTCGCATTTTCATTTTTACGCAGTTCAAATAGTTTGTCACGTTTTTTTTTTTTTTTATTTAAAAAGTGAAATAAAAAGCACTTCGCAAAATAGCATTTCGTGCTGAACAATGGAAAATCTGTCACTAAAATGTTGTGAAAAAAAAACACGTTTTCGTGAATAATATTATACAAAAGTGAGTAATACTACAACGTATATTTCTATTCAAAGATTCTCCTCTAGATAGGAATTCACCCAATATCATAAAAATCATCTTACAGCATAATATATCGAACACATCTGTACATCAAAAGGTTATATTCAAATTATAAAACCGATTAACTTCGAAAGAAATTTTGAGAATTGAAATTAACGAAACACGGAGAATGAACTCTTCATGCAGTGTGATCGTGAATTATGCCAAAAATATTTTAAAGCAAAACAGGATTCTTCTACATATATACTTGAGCAATTTAGAATATTTGTAATTGAAAAGAATTGTTTAATAACAGTATTTGGAATAGAAATATCGCAGTCTTCGAGGTGGCGTAAAAAATGAAAGGGACAATAATACCAGGGGGAAATTGCAATTTCCAAGACGATAGAGATAAAACATATGACCTCATAAATGACGGCACGATCCACAATGCTATGCCAGCCAATGCAGACCTCCTGAAATATGCGCAACAAGCTGGCGCACAACCTGAACTCAGGTTGTGTACCAGGTTATGGTTCAGGTTGTGCGACATCTTGGTGCGCATACTTTAGGAGTACCCAAAACTTGATGAGAAAAACGTATTAATATATCAAACATTAAAAGATTGTATTAAAATTATTAATCAGAAAAATATAAAAAAAATGTTCAAAACTTGATGAGAAAAACGTAATAATATATAAAACATTAAAATTAATATTAAAATAAAGACACGATGTCAAATCGGACAATACCCTTTAAATGAATTTTAAAATGTGAGACACTGATCAGATTAGTTCCTTAAATTTGACAATGTTCGTTTCTTAATCAGACGCGCATTTCGCCATCCTTAACATGACACCCGTCAACCCACTGCCCTATTTCGCCCTCCCTAATCTGACACGCATCGACCCTATTTCATCATCTCTAACCTGACAGGAATCGACCCTATTTCGCCACCCCCAATTTGACACGCTTCGTCCGCATTTCGCCATCCCTAATCTGCCACGCTTCGACCGTATTTTGCCATCCCTAACCTGCCACGCTTCGACCGTATTTCGCCATCCCTAATCTGCCATCACGCTTCGACCGCATTTTGCCATCCCTAATCTGCCACCACGCTTCAACCGCATTTTGCCATCCCTAATCTGCCACGCTTCGACCGCATTTTGCCATCCCTAACCTGCCACGCTTCGACCGTATTTCGCCATCCCTAATCTGCCACCACGCTTCGACCGCATTTTGCCATCCCTAATCTGCCACGCTTCGACCGCATTTCGCCATTTCTAATCTGCCACGCTTCGACCCTATTTCGCCATCCCATTTTGACACTCATCGACTGTGTTTTGCCAGCCCGAATTTGACAGGTACTAATCCATTTCATCAGCCCTAAATCTAAACACTTTGGCCATATTTCTCTGTAATTTTGAGGCAATTGTTAATTGTTATCTGTATAATATACAGCGCATTATGACAGTCGATTTGGCATAAACTGACACGCATCGACCGCATTTTGCCATCTGTAATCTGCCACCACGCTTCGACCGCATTTTGCCATCCCCAATTTGGCTTTTCGTCCCTATTTCGCCATCCCTAATCTGCCACCTTTCGACCGTATTTCGCCATCCCTATTTTGCCATCCCCATTATGACTTTTATGCTACCAACCCTCCTCAGGAAATCTACACGGCCCGATTATGATTTAATCGGGACGGGCATAAATATCTTAATCAAACCACAGGCAACGGTAGTCGGTAAGTTCTTTAGTCTTCTGTCTTAAACTGCCATCTTTTACTGATGTCAGTTGGTCCGAATTCATTAGTCGACAAGAACGTGGGCAGCAATGATAAGTCATGTAGGAGTTGAAAGAAATGAAGCGATCGAGAAGTGAGAAATCAAGTTCCAAGTTGTATGTTGACAGTTGATGTCTTAAAAAATACAGGGCATTTCAGACTGATTTATCTAGATCAGTGTAGATATAATCCAGTATGCAAACACTGCAGGGCTGTAGTACATCACATAAAATGCATTATGTATGATAAGATTTTTTAATTTGTCGAAAATCACTCATGTTGTTGTTTTTCAATTATGAAGATCTTTTGAGGTTAACGAGGCATTAATAAATAAAGCTGAGAAGTTTGTTCTAGCACTGTATGTAGAGGATATGAAGATTGTAAATGATACCAGGGCACGTCTTTTCAAAAGTGGCAAACATATGGATTATACTCTTCCAACCAACAATGATTCATTAAAGAAGCATGTTCTGAGGGCAAATTACCAGGCAGGGCTTCTTCACCATTGCTCAGAACCAGGGCCAATTATTCTCCCACTTATTGGCCATGGATGGGTTCTTGATGATGGTGTTTTGCGGGTTAAATCTATGAATCTACTCACAGCCCCCAAATCCGTTCTTGAGTTGGCAAACTGCAAGTGTGAGCAAAATAGGCGTCAAAATAATTTATGCATGTGTGCTAACAACAATCTAAATTGCACAGATTTTTGTTTTTGTATAGACTTCAAAAACCACAGTACACTTATAGAGGAGAATTCGATTTTCGAGAATGTGGATTTTGGAAGCAATTCAGAAGAAAGTGAATTAGATATTGGAGTTGATTTAATAAATATTATTTATTAGTTTTGTTCAGACATCTATTAGTGTCGAAGGTCCTGTTTCTATGAATAATATTGCCTTCGTTTCAAATACACAACCACATAAACTGAAAAAAAGTCCAATTGTAATATTCCTGTTCACTATATTATGTACATACTGTATCCATTTAATTTTCTCGACTTTTCCGGTAAATTTCTAAGTGAGATATAACTGATTTATTTGTGTTTTTGTGCTCACGATGTTTATTTGTGACTCCAATGCTTAAATGCGTTTGATAGCTTCTATAAAATAAATGCAACTTCTTATGTTGTTTTTTGTTGTAAACTGCTTGTCTGAGGATGTCTGATTATGGTCAGACAAAATGTGACAGAAATACATTTGTGTTAGGGTGCAGCAGGGCTCTTTGAATTGCATTGTGCTTACGCTGTGTTGTTGTAAACCTATGGTTATTGATTTTCTTGGAACCCCCTAATATTCAATTTCGGAACAGGATTGTGGAACAAGCTGTAATGCAATGCGTTCAGTATGTTCATTTTCATACAAAACTAAAGTATTTATTCAATTACCAGATGAACGCGCTACGAAACTCATTTGTTGGGCGTTTTTCAAGGCCTCGTCTCACGGCCTATATCCATGGTAGGGATCTACAAATGTTTAATAACTTACTTATACTTTTTAACATCGTCTTAGCATAACTTAACTAATAAAAGGCTGCAAACTGAGATTCATCCGCCCGCGAACAGCTGATCAAATTAATTGTTACGTCATACAGAGGTCTGCGTTCATTGGCCAATGCTGCCGTAAAAGTAGAGAATGTAAGGCAGATCGTGGCGCATATTTCTTGTAGTACGTCTTTTTCGTAAAACGTGCAACTTTTGGAAATGGGAATAAGGTATTATTTGTAGAAGATAAACCCTAATCAGGAAACGAAATACGATTCAGCAGACAGAAATTTTCTATGGAAAGACATTCAAATTTTCGACCAAAATTCGTTTCTTGGATTTGGGCATTATGTAGTAGAGATAACTTCAGTAAAATTCAAATTATAAATTTTTTATCATAAAATATTAAGAAAAAAAGTGTCCAATAATATCATCTATGATAATACCGTGACGCATAAAAAAAAGAATCTTTTGGCGTCTACAGAAATTTTTGAAATAAGTAAACGTAATAGCCTTCTGGCGAAAAAATCTTTACCTACTGAAAATTTCAAAGCAATCGGTCCAGTATTCGAAGAGAAAAGCAATTTTATCATGACGAAGGAGAAGAAAACAAGAACAACAACATAATGTGGAAACGATCGTTATGTCCACTGACGTGTGCAATACCATGTTTTTATTCAAAATACGGTGTTTTCCCGAACATAAGACTGGGTCTTATTTCAATTTTCTCCCGAAAAATAACACTAGGGCTTATTTTCGGGGGATGTCTTATATTTTCAGTTATTGAAAACTAAATTACAAAGCAGAGAATTACTAGATTTTCAAATATACAAAATGTGTAAACCGATATCTATTTGCTTATAACTAACACGTGTTTATTCAAAATAACTGCAAAACATAAATTATCAATCATTTAAAACGTGTAGAAGAGATTTCTTGCTATTGACTATACTAGGTCAAAAAAAATTTTCACGTTATTAACTAGGTCTTATTTTAGGGGAAGAATTCAGGCTAGGTCTTATTTTCAGGGTAGGTCTTATTTTCGGGGAAACACGGTAGGGTGAAAAACATAGATTATAAATCATTTAAAACGTGTAGGAGAGATTTCTTGCTATCAGTTAGATTAGGTCAAAAACAAATCCCGCGGTATTGACTAGGTCTTATTTTATGGGGAGGGCTTATATTAAAATCTTTTTAAAAATTCAGGCTAGGTCCTATTTTCGGGGTAGGTCTTATTTTCAGGGAAATACGGTATGCTGAATTTATATCCGCTAGGCGACCACTTTTTTCCGCCATGTTCGTTGATTTGACCGGGAGACACTGTCTGAATGCAGAAATGTAAGTCGAGTACCAGTGCAGAAGTCGAAGTGTATGTTTTGTATAAGTATAATAAGTTTATTTGACCACATAATCAGCCTAAATGACGATAAAAACAAAATAAAATTGATTGCAGAATCAGGAAAGCCAACAAAACCTCAGGTGAGGTTTAAAACGTACGGTACCGGTACGGCTGTACGGGCAAGTACGGCGGTACCGTACCGGTACAGATTGAAAGGTGTCGTACCGGTACCGTATCTACGGTACTGGTATTCTATCATCGTATGGCTGTATGGAAGTCATTCTCATTTTGTCCTTTGTTCGAATTATGGGGTCTCATGTACTTTCTTACCTGAATAACTTCTAGTGGGCGTGGGGTAATAATTTTTGGATATATGATTCCTGGCCCCCACCTGATGACGTCATCCAAAAATTACGTCACCGCGACGTCACAATAACGAAATACAGCTTGCCAAAATATAGCGACGGTCACCCGTAATGGCGCCTACGAGTATGTCAACAAACTCAATACGTCAGCGACCTCTCTCTTATCGGGGTCGTTGTGCAGAGCTCAAAATAAACAAGGATCACAAGCGACTAAATTGTCGCCAAAGAACGTTCACGATATCCCATTCTGACCAATTTCTGTCCAGCAATAGCTCATGTATCATGCTACAATCTAATAGAGCGTTATACACACACATAAAGACTTGTTATTTATGTTCAGCAATAGATCATGTATTGTGCTACGATCTATTAATATGGTGATATACGATACCGCTCTAAGCAAGGCTTTAGACAAACAGAAAGAACATTTAATTCACGCGACGATTGAGGTTGGGTACCGCAGACATAAAGACTTGTTATTTAATATCCAGATGTGCCACATTTTATTAATAGGACATTGAATGTTTTCACTCTATGCAAGGCTTTAGACAAGCAGAAACCGACATATTAATTTGCCTTAGCGCAATGGATGTAGTTTCTTACCTCAATAACTTCTATTAGGCTTAGCGTAACAATTTTTGCATATATCATTCCTGACCCTCACCTGACTTCGTCATCCAAAAATTACGTCACTGCAACGCCACAATAACAAAATAGAGCTTGCCCAATAATAGCGACGTTATTCGTAATGGCACCTATGTATGTAGTTTCCTACCTCAATAACTTCTAGTTAACTTAGCGTAACAATTTTTGCATATATTATTCCTGACCCTGCCCTGACTTCGTCATCCAAAAATTACGTCAATGCGAATTCACAATAACGAAATAGAGCTTGCCTAATAATAGCGACCATAATGCAATCGTGATAAATACGCCTGTGTGTCCGCTATGAGTGTAGTTTCTTACCTCAATAACTTCTAGTTAACTTAGCGTAACAATTTTTGCATATATCATTCCTGACCCTCACCTGACTTCGTCATCCAAAAATTACGCCACTGCAACGTCACAATCACGAAATAGAGCTTGCCCAATAATAGCGACGTTATTCGTAATGGCACCTATGGATGTAGTTTCCTACCTCAATAACTTCTAGTTAACTTAGCGTAACAATTTTTGCATATATCATTCCTGACCCTGCCCTGACTTCGTCATCCTAAAATTACGTCAATGCGAATTCACAATAACGAAATAGAGCTTGCCTAATAATAGCGACCATAATGCAATCGTGATAAATACGCCTGTGTGTCCGCTATGAGTGTAGTTTCTTACCTCAATAACTTCTAGTTAACTTAGCGTAACAATTTTTGCATATATCATTCCTGACCCTCACCTGACTTTGTCATCCAAAATTACGCCACTGCAACGTCACAATCACGAAATAACGCTTGCCCAATAATAGCGACGATTACTAGTAATGACACCGATGGATGTAATTTCGTACCTCAATCACTTCTAGTTAACTTAGCGTAACAATTTTTGCATATAGTATTCCTGACCCTGCCCTGACTTCGTCATCCAAAAATTACGTTAATGCGAATTCACAATAACGAAATAGAGCTTGCCTAATAATAGCGACCATAATGCAATCGTGATAAATACGCCTGTGTGTCCGCTCTGGGTGTAGTTTCGTACCTCAATAACTTATATTAGGCTCAGCGTAACAATTTTTGTATATAATATTCCTGACCCTCACCCGACTTCGTCATCCAATAATTACGTCACTGCAACGTCACAATAACGAAATAGAGCTTGCCCAATAATAGCGACGTTATTCGTAATGGCACCTATGGATGTAGTTTCCTACCTCAATAACTTCTAGTTAACTTAGCGTAACAATTTTTGCATATATCATTCCTGACCCTGCCCTGACTTCGTCATCCAAAGATTACGTCAATGCGAATTCACAATAACGAATTAGAGCTTGCCTAATAATAGCGACCATAATGCAATCGTGTTAAATACGCCTGTGTGTCCGCTATGGGTGTAGTTTCTAACCTCAATAACTTCTAGTTAACTTAGCGTAACATTTTTTGCATATATCATTCCTGACCCTCACCTGACTTCGTCATCCAAAAATTACGCCACTGCGACGTCACAATAACGAAATAGAGCTGATCACCCTCAATGGCGTCGGCGATTATGTTAACAAACTCAATGAGGCCCGCCACCTCACGACCACACACACCTAAAGATTTGGTATTTTATATCCAGCAACAGGTTATGCATTGTGCTGTTAGTTATTATTAGGGCGTTTCACGATACTACTCTATGTAAGGCTTTAGACAAGCAGAAAGAACATATTAATTCACGCAATGGTTGAAGTTGGATACCACACACATAAAGATTTGTTATTTTATGCCCAGCGATAGATTATGTAATGTGCTACAATCTACTAATAGGGCGGTATACGATATCACTCCAAGCAAATCTTTAAACAAGCAGAAGCGGACTTATTGATTTAAGTTCACGTTGTCCGTGTAGTTTCCTATGTTCATAACTTCATTTTGCCGTAAGTCGATACAATTTCGAGTTACGTTGAACACAACTAAATTTTACTAGACAGGTAAATCGTTATACGCTGAAAAGTCAACTTTTTTAATGTTCGGGAAGAAAGACAATCGTCTCGAAGGTGGGACACACTGTGCAAGTGTAAGACAAGCATGTAATCACGGAGATTGATTCGGAAATTTCGAATTTTAACCCCGCCTCATTTAAAGATCCTTCCTGCATGCACTATCGCCTGCTAGTTCTCTGATACATCTCTGTTAGAGTCATTTTCTAACACGTAGTGGGATTACCGTATATTTTTTATTGTCCCAAAAACTATTTATATTTTCAAGTTGATTTCGCAATAAAAGCAATATTGAAATCCCGTCATTCTATATTTAATTTAGCAGTCTGTATTAATAAACTGAAGAATAATACGGTAAATCAACCCCGAAAAAGTACCAATTAGGTCTGATGATCGCCAGATAGACTATATCTAAATCCATTTCTTTGATATACCCGTTTACAACAAAAACCATCGGCTTAAGATCCTTCAAATGTTAATACCACTACAATGTTTCCAGAACTTTTTCATCTTGCGGTTCACTAACAGCGAAATATTAAGAAAAATGTTTTCTGTTCTCATACCGATCTTTGAACACTCGCTCGCTAAAATTGGTTAACAGAAATTTGACATAGTGGAGGAAGTGGTATAGTATTTGATCTCCAAGTAATTCAGGGGAAATGTGAAAAAGGATGAAAGAAGATCATATTTATAGGCTCTTCAATTTTCTAACTGTTGAAATTTGGAATGAATTCGACTTCAAGCGCAATCGATAATTAAGCATTCGTTCACAATCCTGAGTTAATTTCCAGGATGCATCTCTCATCTATCTGTCGTTACGTTTTAAATAGAACTTATAATCATATTGGATGATTGTAATGAGCAATGAGCTCAATAGGTAAATTATATGAGTAATTGTCAATTTCGTTTTTGATGTTTATGAAATGATCTATTCAATTTCCTCAGCACAGAAGCATCTTCTGACAAACTTCCGAAAAAAGAAAACTTTAAATACAATGATAGCAACGGCTATGTATAGGAACCCAATATGTCTAAACGTTTGTCCTTCGGTAGAACGTGGGTGTTCTATAAAATTATAGCGCTTTTCAAAATTGAAATAGGCACCAAACAAAGCCAAATTTTAATCAGAACAAGTAAAATGCCTATGTCATAGTCGCGCAGAGAAATGGGAGTAAAATGGAAATCACAAATACAGCACACATTAAAGTAGTGCATAATTATTCACACGTCTGTCTCAAACATTTTCATTGTCCTTTTTGAGAATCTGAGTACCCTGTGCCAAAAGTCTTCCGAATCCGACTATAGGGATAGAATGTCAAGATCCGTAAAATATTTGCCTTTGTATATGTGGCACTACACTCATTGGGGGACCGTAAATTATTATGCCTGTTTCTCATTATCCAAAGTCCATCCAAAGTCTTAGTCCGGCAGATAAGGGGACCTTTTTGGCCCAAGTTTGATTTCAGACATAAAGTTTTTTTTATTTGTAATTATTCATCTTGGGGTCATTGCCCATCATTTCTACATGGGTGTGGAGTTTGCAGCCTTGAGCATTTTTTTACGGCTCGATATTTGTATTAGTGTTTTTTGTCAAACCTGTGCATCATAATGACGCACAACCTGAACCATAACCTGTTACAATACTATGTTCAGGTTGTGCGCAATCTTGGTGCACAAACTACGCAAGCACCAAATTTACTAGGAAATAAAATCGATACCTTCTAGGTATTTGTTGAGCCCAGCTTTGGGTCGCGACCCGTATACAGTATATGGAAATACTGTCGAAACATACGCGTAAAATAAAGAGCACTATTTCAAAATTGCAGATGTTTCTGATCTTTTTGTATTAAAGATTTACTGGCATCACCGATTTAAGGATGTTGGAAACCAACCCGCAATATTACAAAACTTGCTTTTAACACGCGGTTTGAATGAATGAAAAAGCTGAAACTAGTATTCTTTAGAACAGCATACAAATTCTATGGAATGAAATCATACACAAAAGCTCGTCAAAAACCTATAGCTCAATAATC